CCCACAAATACCCTGTTGGAACAACAAAGAAGGCAAGCAAAAGGATAAAAGAGGTGTTAACTTCTGAAGTAGGTTTTGATGATGAAAAAAACATCTTGCTCTCTTATGGGGAGACAGGTCTTTTGTTTTAGTCCTCAGTACTCCTAGAGATTAGAAGTTTTTCCTATCTACTCTTAAGATCAGCATAATTTAAATCCTAACGAAATAGATAAGAACTCCAGGTTAGCAACTATCACAATATATGTAGGTTTTTGGTGATCACCTAGCATTTAAAATAAGTAATCATTTGCAGGGAGTGTCAGTTTTTTAATATCATGTTACTGCAAGGAGACATTTATTTTACAGAGCTGGTTTATTTGCATCCTGTGCATTATAATATAGTGCACTGTCTAAGGTGTTTTGATTTTAGTGAGATGTAAAAAGGCAACTTTTCTGTGGATTTGAAATGCTGAATAAGCTTTTAAATGAAAATGCAATAATTTCTTAGCTAGAGCTTAATTTCCTTGATAGTGTTGCTAGTCCATATATAGGGACAAAACCCAAAAAGTCATTTCAGGTCATCTTCTGGACAGAGTTGCATTTGTTGTTTTGCAGATGCCTGTGATAGGTATGTGGTTGTTGTTATAGTGGAATGAAACTGTGCTGAGAGATGCCCATTTTTTTAAGTCAGGCAGACATTCAGTTCTGCTTTCCCACTGAAATCTGAGGCCCTTATTGCAAGTAGATTTAGTGTGTCAGGAAGCACATGGATCATTGCTTGTAACAGCTTAGTAAGGGTATCTGAACAACTGCAGTTGCATTGATTAGGAAAAACAAACAGTAAAAACAAAACACTGACCTTTGGCTGTTTTGTGTAGAATTGTGTATTTTTTGTTGTCCTCAAGTCTTGTGCTTTCAGCACCTTAGTTGTATGTTGATGGTGTGGACTGCTGTTGTTGGTCTTTTGGCACATAAGGCACAGCTGTGGTTTTGTTTATGTGACAGTGGGTGGCTGTTTCCTTTTCCTCTCATTTGTGGCCAAGACAGAGGTAGTTCTTGATGAGGGGAATGAGGAAGTGTGAAATCATCAGTTACCCACTGCAGAAAACCCTTGATAGCAAGTAGGAGCCTATTTAACCTGCTCTGGGATCTGTGGTTTGCATCCAGTGATGCCTGAAAGGGACGTTCAGTAGAATGTCTTTGCTTAACTTAGAGGAGCAGAGGAGTTAAACAAATTATCTATGTTATACTCTGGCAATAAAGAAGTAGCTGGCTCCTCCCAGAGCCAATTGTTGTGGTCTGTGCACTTCAGGAGAGGATGACAACACTACATCAAGTGCTGTATTTCAGCACTTTCAGCACTTGCTCTTATCGCCCAAACCATTAATAGTATTTCATATTATTTCATATTAATTAAAGGGGAAAGTAAGAGCAACCCAAATTCTGTCAGTGGCACATACACAAATGCACTGCTGGCAGCAGGGTTCATTGGTTGTCAAAGACATGACATGAAGCCATAATTACAGATACATTCCTTTGCCTTCACTGACATAACTTACTTAAAAAATTGTTGATGCATAAGCAAGGAAGTCCACCCTTCAAATTCAACTTCCAGTTATCCACAATAACCAAAATAGCCTTAAGTAATTAGTCAGCAGACATGACTGTCAGTGAAGGAGAGCTGTAGAGAGAGAGCTGTTCATTTAAAAGTTTGACTTTTTAGAGTGGAAATATGCATCTTTTATGTGTAGAAATACAGTTATTGGCAATACAGTGCAAGTTCTTTTATCAAAAGTATGTTAGTTTGTGCTAAGGCACTGGAGGTCTTGAATTCTGAGTGAATTATGATTTTGCTGTTTTATGACAATATTAAATCCTATGTTGTCATAAAAAGAGAAAAAACAGTGGATATAAATATTTTCTACTGAACTACTTTCATAGCTCACTGAAAGAACTGAAGCTTTGATCTTCCTTTTCCAGATGACTGGTAGATATGAAATGTATGCAGAAAAGCTCGCTGAAGCAACCCAGCCTTACTTTATACCCAATATCATCAAAGAGTAAGAGAGAGCATCTCATTATAAGAAAAATTAAAAGGTACTGTTGGATGATAGCTGTCCTGTGGATCACAAGTTGTTCTTTTAATATTGTCAGTTTAATTTCCTGTAACCAACTTTAAATAATAGGATTCAAAACTGTCTTAAGTAAAATAATTGAAAGTGGCTTCTGGAGTGTTTGGTTTGTTATTTACAGTAATGAATGAAAAGTTTTGTTCTTTACTAGAACTACATCCAGTAGGAACACATTGATATAAAATGATAATGAAATTTATTCAGTACAGTATACTGTGATGTAGTTTGATGATGAGTTCACAGAAAATAAAAATTTTTACATGATATTTGCATTGTGCCTCTGTTTACTTCTGCTTTCTAGTTCTTACCCTTTAATCAAATGTGTACTTTAGGGAGAAAGGAGGCATAAACTGTTTTCATCTGAGGTTTATTTTTTTTTCTCCCCTAACTACAAACTATTTGATGCAGTTCTGTCAGAGCTGAGTAATGTCCCAGACTTGTCCTAGTTGTTTGAAGATCTGTGGGTGCTGTAAAGCAAAACCCCGTGGGTTCTGTTTCCCTTTACACCATGACCACAGCTGGACTGGTGTCTTTGATGGGCTCCTTCGAGGTGCAGAAGTCATTCTGAGACGGGTGCTTTCAGTATTTTCCAAAGCTGTGACATGCTGGGAGGCAGAAATAGAGACCCTGGCTGGGGCAGTTGCATAGTTTTCCCTGTGAACAGAAAGCCATGGAGCTGCTATTGAGGATCGGGATGAGTAAGGAAAACTCCTTCCCTGGGGCTGCACTCCAGCAGGATGCTCAGTGGTTGTGGAGTACACAGAACAGCTGTGGAATACAGGAGGTAATAACAGTACATTTGCTATTCTCAATATATGTGTTCTGAAATTTTGCTTTGTATGATTCAGGTGATGCAGCAGGTGCTCAGGCAATGCAGACTGAATACAGTTCACAGCCCTGCAACTATGAATTTATAGCTGTAATAAATATTTGAACTCTTATTTTTGTTTATTTTAGGAGTTTCAGCTGTCCCATTTCTAGTTAAATTCATAACACATCCTCTAAAGATTTTCCAACATTTTTCCTGGTAAGTTGGTTAATAAAGGCACTTGCTACATTATGTTACAGGGTTATCTGTGAGTTTAAACCTTTATTGAGAATGGCTTAATTACAAATAAAAATATATTTATGTATAAAATCCCTGCATGTAAAATCCCCTTCCTTTGCTATTGACATCCTGACAGAAACAAAGCAACAGAACATTTTCAGAATGGGTGTTTTGATAGACAATCTTGTAATGGGAAACCAAGTTGCAGAAAATGCAGATGTTTTGAATGTTTGTGCAGTGAGCTGCTTTTTCCTCTGAATTTGTGTCATGTAAATAGTCTTTTCACTTGGCTTTTGCTTCTTCCTCGTGTTTTCACCTCTCATAGCTGTCTTCCATTTGGCAGCTGTGTGAGATCCTGTTGCAAGAGTGGAGCTCTCCTTTTTTCTGCACTAGCTTAGGCAGCTTTGTTTGTCTTTCACTTTTGTTGAAGCATTTAAACCCTGGGTGCCAAACACCAGTCAATACTGCTACACCTGTCTGTGCACTTCAGAACACTCAGCTTGCCCTTAGTTCATGTTTTATCTATAAGCTCAAGAGTCACTTTTGTTAACTGAACCAGTAAGATGCTAAATGTGAATTACAAGCCTTTTGTAACAATTGTTTTTATTTAACTAACCAAGCCTGCTCTAAGATAAATCCCGTGGCAGTTTGATGGTATTGAATGAACTATCTACCTGAAAATGCATGGGTTAAGGAAGTACTCTTAACAGCCTGTGGTTTACATACCTGTTAATTATTAACAGAGCTAATACAATCTCTCCAAATCAAACATCATGATTTTGGACCTGGACATAAAAATTCCCAGATCAGGAGCCTTCTGGTGACCTACTTTGGGGGAGTTGAAAGGCATTACCTGCAGTAGGTTTTGTACCTTTTTCCTGGAGGGATTCTGCTGGTGGTACCAATGTACTGGTTCTATGCAAGTCACATCCTGCCTTTTACTTGTTTTGCAAGGATCAGGGCCAGAATATATTTCAGCTTCACCAGTGATAAGCAAAATGCGACACACTGAAAATTTGTCACATACTTTTCGTTTGGAACTTTTTAAAGGCTTCCACATTTTAGATGTCTGTTACTATTTTCAGCCTTTGTACAAAGGAGCACTCTTGACTCTTATTTAAAGTGTACTTAGTGAACACTTAATAGATACTTTTCAGTGAGTCAACAGCTGATAAAATGTTTATCTTAGAAAGTTTTTTACCATGCTGAAAGTAGATTCCTATTTATTATATCCACCACTAAATAATAATATCCTTTTGCTGTTATCCCACGCAGTTCCAGAACTTGAACAGTTCTTTTCCTAAAACCATGCCAAAGGTGTGGGATCTCTGCCTTAAGTGCAAACTAAAATTTTCCTAGTTTTACATCAGCTTATTTTCCTACCCACTTCCACATAGGCAGGACTGAAGGTGAGACTTGCAGGAAACGGTGATGCATGAAGCTAAAATAGGTGGCTATTTCTTACACTTCAGAGTGCTCCTCAGCAAAGTAATATACTAATTTCACTTAATGTCTGAATATAGTAACTCCAGCTTAATCCAAATACAGTTGTAGTATAAGAGCCAGAAAAATCTGAGTTCCTGCCTCTTACTTGTACCAGAGATGTTCGTATTTCCTCTTTTCTTAATTGATTTTTAGCTCGTCTTAGAAGGTCACTGAACTAATACCAATAGCAAAATTTGGCTCTATGGTTCAACATTTTAGTTACAATGCAGTAGATGCTGTCAGATATTTACACTTTACACACCAAATATATACTATTAGCATGGATGATCATTTTCTGTATTTGCTTAATAAGTTTAGAATGGATTCTGCAGAAACCGGCACATGTGCGTGGTGTAACATTCAGAGGTTTTTTTGCAGAGAGCACTAAAGACTTTGAGGTGGAAATAAAGTGTCTTCACTTAAATTCTGGGAGCTCTAAGCAGTCACCAAGAGGATTTAGCCAAAAGAGAGTGAGTTTGTAGTGCAAGGGGACAATGCCACTAACTACAACTCAGAATTTAACGCAGTTGCAAAATGCCAAATCTGTATATAAGGTGAATTTGGTACATGGGAAGTTTCCTTGAGTAAATGTTTTTCATTCATACAATGCAGACAATACCGATGAGCTAGAAAGGCATTTTTTTGTTATTTAAAGGTGGTTTAAGTTAATATTTTTCCTTCTGTAATACCCTGCTGAACTTCAGATCCCTAGATTTAGGATGAAGATCAGCTCGTGATGCTTCCACAGAGAGAAACAGGTATTTTCTACTTTTTTCTTCATTTACCTAAACCTATGCATGTCTTACCAAGTGTTAAAGTTCATAAATTTGGTGCTTTTTTCTTATGTGTTTAATTTGAAAATAAGCTGAAAGTGAACAGGCTCTGAGCCTGTATTTTAGAACTGCTGTGAAATGTGCAATGTTGAAAATTACGAAACAAAAAAAAGAAACCAAACAAAAAAAACAGAGACGTACATTGCAAAATCAGATACATCAACAGGGAAAAAAAAAAAAAAAGGTGAAGACAGCATTGCAATAGAGTCCTGTCAATGTCCATAAAGCCTCCCTTGTTTGAGGTCCCACTGCAGTTCAGGAGCGAGGTCTGTGCAGGGGAGTCCTGAGACGAGCAGCCAGCTGCCATGCAGGCTGGGCAGGAAGGAGCAGGAGTATCCACTGTGGGTGTCAGCTGTCTGTGTAGATGAACAGAATATCTTCATCAGTGCCATAACTTGTCCTGGCTTCCTCGAAGTTAGTGATGCTGGTGCAGCATGTTCCTGTTAAGGAGGAAAAAAGCGTTATGAAAAGTTCAGAAGGATTTGCTCTTATACTGAGCCTGATGGCCTCCACAAACAAAACAACTGGTATACAGACTAGACCTGGCAGCTTAGGTTACAGTTTTACCCAGGGAGATCTTTTAACTCAAAGTGCTCACTGAAGTAATGCTGTAAATAGGTACTAAACTGGCCATTTTATTGTATTCTGCACAAGGACAGTTCAGCTTCTCTCACTGACCCATCTGAGAGCCAAACAAGCCATTTGCTAAAATGTGTATCTGAATGGCCTGAGTAAATCACAGCACAAAGTGCAGCACTGATGTAATTAATGTGGCAAAACCCCTTCTGGCAGACTGGGCAGTGATGCTTGAAATGCACTGTGAGGGGAGGTCCAGCTGTGGCTCTCTGTTACTGACTTGTTAGTAATGCGCTGGCTGAGAATCCACCCAAAAGAACAGGCTACTCACGGTCAGCATAGGCAGGGTTGTTGTAGTAAATACTCCCTGAGGCTTTGTTGTAGCCACATAACACAATGAAATGGCCCTGGTAGTCGGGGCTCCTGCAGAAGCACTTCTGTCCGATGGGGAGGAAGCAGCAATATTTGACAGGACTTGAGCAAAGATCACACAGCAGCAGGACTGCGTTCACTAGGACGATGGCTACGTGACCCTGGGACAGGTGGGTTTGGATGTCTTGAATAGTTACTGTGCTGCAGAAAAAGAACCAGACATGCTACGTGACAAGTTTAGGAAAGAGGCTGGTGTACAAGGAAGTGTGTGATGGTGGGCAGTACTTGGGACACGCAGCTGGCACAGTTATTGCTGTATCACAGGTACAGCTTTTTGCTATTAAACCCTGCAGGCTTTGCTGTGGACAAAGCTTGACAAGACCTGTGGCATTCAAATGCTATTGTGGCTGCCATGTATCCTCTCTTCTTTGCTTACTCCTCATCAGTTATCCCACTTCAACACCAGAGATCCAAATCCAGCTTCACTATAAAAAGGGACAAAGCTGTTTGATGCTTAGTGATTTCCCAGCAGAATTTCACCATTGATTGTGAAACAGTTCTGCAGTTTTTCCATTTCTCCCGGGTTTGCAGTTCTTTAATTGATGTTCCTTATTTCATGGTCCCCTTGGCAAAAGCTTGTATGCTAGTTTGTACTTTGCAAGTCTGTCTAGGAACAGAGATCTATAATGTTTGCATAGCTCTGGGAACAGTGGGTTCTGTGCCCACATAGCACTCTCTGTAATTCCAACAATGGCCAATTAGAGTGCTGTAGGCACTCCCTACTGGCTAATTGTAATGGATAATCAAATTCAAAACATAAAGAGTAAACTCCTGTCAGCATTTTCAAATCCCTTCTTCTGTGTCATGACTGTTTTTTCTCAAACTTCATTATTAGCTCTTGATGTCCATGGGGGTTTTTTTTGACCTAGATGTAGTAGAAAGACTCTTAGTTCACAAAAAAGCGTTCAGTGAGTGTCTTTCAGCAGTTTAGCTTGTTGCCTCCAAGAAAAGCTCGGGGCCCACAGAATGTCCAGGGAGAAAGGAAGGAAAAGAGTAAGCTTACCACTTCTCCACCAGCACCTTGCAGTCTTTGGCCTGTGCAAAGAGCTGATTCACTCGATTCTCCTCTGTGTCAAAGTGCTTCCTGTAAAATGACTGTGGAGATAATAGAAGTTCTGAACTGGAATGATTTTTACCTTGGGTAATCCACAACTTACAGCCTCTGGCTAGCAAGGGCCTGCCTAAGTTGGATATCTGGCTATGGGATAAAAGATCTCTCCCTTAGTTCCCTGGTAACAGGACAAGGATTTCTGCTCTGAATTACAAGTTTAAATTTGCTCCTGGTCAGTTATTGTTGCAGTTTCCATCCAGTGGCTACTCAGCTGCCTACATGAGACAAGCCTGTCTATTTTCCCTGGGGAAAACTGGGCAGGAGCTGCTGCAGGCCTTCCTTGGCCCCTTGTTGGCAGCCCTGCAGAGGCCAAGCTCCCAATGGACAGGAGGCTGAGTTCCCCTCTCACCTCTAGAGGTGGATCTTGCAGGTCAGGGCTGAGGCACAGTGGGGAGAGTGTGGAAGGTAACACTGCTGCTGCCCAGGCTATACCTGTTCTGTAAATAAATACAGGGCTTCAGCCTCCAAGGCTGTCAAATAGGCTGGAACCTTTCATGAACACTACCTGAAAACTTTTTAAAAACTCATATGATGGAATCAAAGATGTTGAATATGTGAGGTCACACTGCCTTTGGAATGGATTTGTGCCAGTTCTGGCCTGATTAACTGTGGTTGACTGTCAGTAACACAGCAGAGCTTTCACAGCGTGACACTCAAGGCTTTGAAAGCTGCCTGCCCTCCCCCAGCAGATGAGAATACTGACCTGATTTTTGTAGCCCTTGTCCACTCCAAGTGTCTGGGTGCAAAATTTATGCTTAACACCAAAGTGCCGCATTAGGTAGGCCAGGTCAATAGTCCAGATACTCTTTGTTAACTGGAGTTCCTGGATGGCTTTCTGAAACTCGTCATTGTCCAAGTGATTCAGGTACCTATGGCATTAAGAAAGGCAGGGGAAAGGAAGCACAGATCTTAGGAGGAACAAAGTAGGTGGTGTAGCCCAAGCCTCCACAACACAGCACATACAAACTGAAACAATGGGCTTGGCTAAGAAATAACCAAAATAAAAAAACAATCCACAAAGGAGCCAGAAATTTAAGGGAAGGGAGTAGGGAACATTCAACTGGATTTATTGCTGACTTTAAAATTGGAAATGTGTGGGTACCTTGACTGTTTTGTAGTACTAGAAGTGTACAGGTGCTGTACCAGAGACAAGCTGGTATAGAACTCTGTCCTGAAGGGTTTACAGTCTGAATGTACAAGTGTAGTATTAGAGCCAACACAGAAAGAAGTGTTAAAAGACTAAAACTTCCTTCACGCAATACATGGATTTCAAAAGGAGGAACCATAAAGGAATTCAGTAAATATTCAAAGGAAGCTTGTCTTAGGCATTGATGACACAAAAGGCAAGAAAGGGGAGATGAAGTCAGGAGGAAGCTTGGGACGGGTTGCAAAGGGGTCAGGAGAGGCAGTTACAGAGTTCTGAAAGTAAGAAAACAAATGGAAGTAAATGGAAATAAAAAAAAAGGACTGGAATTGAGAATGCAGGGCAAACAAGGTCAGATCAGCAGGGTGAGAAGATTAATCTTGGAAGCTGAGTTTTGGGCAGACTGGAGTGGCAGAGAGGTAAAGGGAATAGAGGTTACAGTAGTCAAGATGGGAAATTACCAGCACACGGACTAACGTCTTGGCAGAAGGGATGGAGAGAAATGAAAATCTTCTGCTTCATATCTACTAAGTGGACATCTAAATAGGTATTTCTCCTGCACCTAAGCTCATGTTCCTCTGTGGAAGGAAAGAGGAGTTCAGCAGGACAGCTACTAGTTCAAAAAAAGTAAAACCAAAACTAAACAAAAAAAGAACCACCAAAGGGCAACACAGTTTTGAAGCTGAAACTACTCCTGGAACAGACACACTCATCCCACAGCTCAGCAGGACAGAGGTAGTACAGGTACAGTACACTCATAAACTGGGATGCACCTGCCCATCACGTGAAAACACAGAAAGGAATCAGGTGAATCACTGTGCTAAGGATCAGTTCTGAATCACAACGGGAAAGAGGGAACACCTTCTATGAGCTTATGCATGCCAGCCTGCAAAGTTCATAGAGCTGATCAGGTATTCTGCATCTGTCAAAGCAGGCAATTATTCAAAAGAGTCCAAAGTTCACTTCAGTCTGTATTTTCCCTTGCTCCTGCTGGAAAGCTGTGCCAGGCCCAAGCAGCAGTCACTCTCCAAGGGCACCTCAGAAACTCTTGCTCTCCTCAGACTAAGTTAAACTCAGAGCTGTTCAACACACCTCTTCTCCCTGGATGTTGCTTCCTGATACCCCTCCCCACGGAATGGGATTTCCCTCACTGAGAGAGCCACTTACTGAAGCACCATCCTGGAGCAGGCCAGCCCACAGTCCCAGTGGTACAGCTGCTGAATCACTGGCACTTTCAGCTGGATGCAGTCAACTGTGTGAGTAAAACACGAAGGATGTCAATCCATACAGGAATGTGTTTCCATACCATTAAAAGTCAGCTTCTCCTCAGCACTGTAGTCATGGAAACTTAGAAATATGTTTTTACTTTATCTGATGGGCAGGTAGGTTTTTTTTATTTCCTGGGGGAAAGTACATTTAGTATTTCTGTACAGTTAAGCATTTAATCTCGTACTCCTTTATTGCTCCATACCTGGATCACTCTGCATTTCCACCCCCTTTTCCTCTGGAAGTTTCATTTTACTCTTTTTGGTGGGACAATGTACCTGTGAGCCCTCAACTATGAAGCATAACAGTAGGTAAGGCACAGGTATTCATCCTTTCTTTTGTGTCTGAATGTATTTCTGTGCCACAAGAGAGGAGTTAAACCAAACTGTGAGAAAACAGACATAACCAACAGCTCTGGGCATGGATCTCTTGCAAGCCCCACATTCTACATGTCTTTTTCCTTGGGGCTGTAATTCACAATTTTAAAAAAACTCACAGAGCTCACAAGTGGCACCAGTTGTCCTTTTGTATTAACTGCCTCAAAAATTCAGTGGAGAGGGAAAAAGAATAATCTCTACCAAAAAGTCTCAGAATACAAGTAACTCCATCCCTCTGCCTCAGTTTTTATTTTTATGGAGCTGGCAAGGTGGTAGTTTCAGTTTCAGGAACACCCTCACCACTGGAAGGATTGTGAAGAGCTGTGCCTGTCACTGCTACTTCAGTGTCGACCAAGGTGAGTTAATCATAAGTATACAATCCTAAAGATCTTTCATCCAGAAAGACCTTTGAGAAGTTTTTCTAACACAAGGACACATACAGTTTATGATGGGAGTAAAAATGCATTAGACATCATGGTCCAGTTTTGATGTAATTTTATTTATAAAACTTTTTAGATAATGTTATCTGTAATCTGATATTAAACAAAGCTATAACCCACTGCAGGGATGAGCCAATGCAGAGATTCTGGACTATTTCCAAATATTTTTTCCTAGCTCTGCCCCTATTTAATCATGACTTTGAAGATGGGCACACCCATCGGTATATTCATTTTTTTAAATTAATGTAGCTTGAAGTGCTCCTAAGTATCCTGACAAAAAAAAAAAAAAAAAAGGAAACCCAATTCCCAGATTCTACTCAAACAAGACCTGTTAAATATTTTGTCACCCTTTTTTCTTGGCGTGTTATGAACTTGTCCCCTTTTTGTTAACACCCAGGGCCTCTGTCAAGTCTCCAAATTAACCACGAGGTACGTGTTTTCTACGCGAAGGCTTCACGGAGCAACAACTACTTTTCCTGGCCGTCCCGCTTCCAGTCACCTGTTCCCAACACACCCCGAGCTGTCCAGCGGTGGCTGTCCCGGGATCAGGTACGAGCCGTGGCTGCGAATCGCGCCGCGAACCCCCCTGCGCTTTGCCCGCGCCCCGGCGCAACCCCCGTACCCGCGGAGCGGGTAATTCCACATCGCGGGTAATTCCACATCGCGGCTGCCGAAGCGGGCAGGGCGGAGCTGGGGCCGGCAGGAGCCGCCGCGTCCCCTGCCCGGGTCCCCTCCTCGGCCCGTTCCGCGGGCGCTCCGGACCGCGCTGTCCCCCCCGCCGGCCCGAGCAGGGCCGCACTGACCTGGCGGCGGCCCCCCGGCCTCCCGGGGGCTCTTCATGGCGGCGGCACCCGCCGCCCGCTCAGTGCCGGCCCCGCCGAGCCGGCGGCGCGGCCCCGGGGCCCGGCGCTGGCTCCTCCCGGAGGCGGGGGCTGCGGGGGGCCGGGCCCCGGGGCGGCTGCCCCGCGCCGTGGCGGCGGAGAGGCGGAGGGCGGCGGTGAGGGGGTGCGCGGGCGGGCAGGGGCATGACACGGCGGGCGGGGGGCGCGCAGCCCCTCCCCGGGCACGGGCACCGCGGGGCGGCCCCGAGCGGGAGAGGACGGGACGGGGCCGGACGGGACGGGGCCGCCCCCAGCGCCGCGTTCCGGTTCCGGCGCGCGGAGCAGGGCGGGAGGCAGCGGAGGCCATTAGGGGAGAGCGCGGGCGGCGTGGAGCGGAGCGGCGGGCGGTAAGTGCGGGGAGGGCGGTGGGGCGGCCCCGGGCGGCGCCCCCGGCGTGTCCCCGGGGCCTCCTCGCTCCCGGGGCGCTGTGGGGATGCGCCCGAGCGGCACCGCGTCCCCTGCGGCCCGCGGGGCCTGAGGGGGCCGGGCCGGGCCGGGCCGGGGCGGCGGTGTGTTTGTGTGTGGGTAGGTGGGTGAGTGGCTGGGCTAGGCTGGGCTCCCTCACGGCCCGGCTCGGTGCTCGGGCGATGCGGTCCCGGGGGGTCTCGCAGCCCCTCAGTCTGGTTGTGTCGTTATGGGATGCACCTGAGGCTGTTCCCGTTGAGGTGCACCTGGCGATACCAGTGGTTTGTTGTCTGATACTTAAAAGTGATTTTCCTAGGTCAGAAGAGACCTGGGAAAGATGGGCTTCTGGTATTTAAAGTCTTTCCTTCCGTGGGCACCTCCCTGGAGGAGTTTTACGGATGCATAGTCAAAGCATACGGTGTGTTTGGACAAGTGAGGAAATCGGTGCTGTACACTGGGGAAGATCCTGGGTTGTGTAGGTGAAGCCTTGTCTACGACTTTCTTTGTCATAACGGCTTTTGTTTTCTTCTTGTGTCAGGAGTAGAGCCACAGCACTGCAGCCATGTCGATTGGGGTGCCAATCAAGGTCCTGCATGAGGCCGAGGGCCACATCGTCACCTGTGAGACCAACACAGGAGAAGTTTACCGAGGCAAACTTATTGAAGCTGAGGACAACATGAATTGTCAGGTATACAGGTCCCACGAGGATGGATGGAGGGAAGGCTGGCTGATCTGGGCCTGGGAAGGCTGATAGCCTGATTAAAAGGCTGTTGCTTTTAGAAAACTGTACTGCTGTTTCTTAACCATAGTGAAATGGATTCAGCATTATGGTGCTCCAAAGAGGCCAGAGTTTATTCTTTCCAGTTCTAGAGTCAGCTTGGGTGTTCCTGTCAATCAAGGATTTAAGATTCTATTCTGAGGACAATATTTTTCTGAGTTCTTTATTAAAAGCCACTGAGCATAAGAATAAATAAACCTTGATTTAAGAAACTGAAGCTTATTTACTGAATGTTACCAAGTCACTGCTGAAATCAGAATGCTTTTTTAATAGTTAGGACTAGAGCACCTTTATTAAACCTGATTGAATATGAGAAAACAAAAGCAACAAAGCTGATAAAACTGATTTGTAAAATGGGGAGAAAGTCTTGGGCAGCAGGCCTGGAGTTTGAATGGCCGTGGATGCCTCGTGTCACAGGTGAGGCCTGTGTGAGCACTGACTGGTTTTTACCTTCCAGATGTCCAACATAACAGTGACATACAGAGATGGCAGAGTGGCACAGCTCGAACAGGTGTACATCAGAGGTAGCAAGATACGGTTTCTCATCTTACCAGACATGTTGAAAAATGCTCCTATGCTGAAGAGCATGAAGAACAAAAACCAGGGTTCTGGAGCTGGGCGAGGAAAAGCAGCTATTCTCAAAGCTCAAGGTGCGTACAGTTTGTTCTTGGTCCCTCCCCCGTTCTTCCTTGGAACTGGAAAACTCATCTCTACCACTGAGAAGATGTAGGCTGTAAGAAAAGGAAAAATTACTGATTCATACAGGTTTTTTGTGTGCTTCGTCTTATGGTGGGAATCAAGACAAATTGTCCAATTACCTGAATGTGTTATATTGATGCCACAATAATTCAGAGGTATTGAGTGGTCTTGTCAAACAGAGGCTTTCTGTTAAACTTAGTTTTCTGTTTTCCAGCAGTTGTGGCCACAAGCTGTTTAGAATACTTATGGAAGGATTCGGGTTTTCTTGTTAAGCTTTTGTAGGAAAACAATTTCAGTTATAAAGATGGTACTTAAACTGCTGAGAAGCTGTAATTATTAGCCTTTCTGTAGCTCACCCTCATTTGTACCTTTCTCAAGGGAACAATCCAGTTATAACAAGACTGAGTAACAATCATGTGCCACAAAGTCTCTGGTTAAAATTAGCAAATGCAGTAAGGTTACGTGGGGGGTAACATCTGCTGAAACATACTGAGTTCTGTTGCAAAACCTTGGAAGAGTGTGGAGTTTTAAATCTCTTGGGCTACACAAATTTGTGTATCAGCTTAGAAGGAACACGAGATGTATGAGTATTCACTGCAGCTCTTCCAAAGAGCCAGAGTGGGACCATTAGTTCTGGTTCTTCTCACAGAAAGCTTCTTGCTGTCACATCGCTTTCTGAGCGTCATAGGGCAGCCTGTTTTCCTTCCTTCTGAGCAAGAGACTTTGTTGTTTAGGTTTTGCTTGTCAGTTGTTGAGATAAATATGCAGGTATGTCAAATTCATGTCATCTCTGATGTTTTATTTCTTCAGTGGCTGCAAGAGGAAGAGGCCGTGGGATGGGCCGTGGCAACATCTTCCAGAAGCGAAGATAATTTTGGTCTTGACAGACATGCTTTTTTTTATTAGGGGTGTTAACTTGACTGTGCGTGCATTGGTTTCAGTTTTTGTTTAATAAATGTTTCTGACAAAAACTTGTCTGCTCTTACGTTACAGGGCAATTCTTGGGCAAACACACTGTAGGTTCATTTCAAACTTAAGCCAGCTTTGCCTGGAGAATAGTGAACTTTAGGTTTGACCACTTTGTGTGATGCATTGATTTTTAAAGATAACTATTTTTCCTTTTTCTTGTTTAATCCTGTTGTCATTTATTCTCAAAAGAATTAGAAGGCATTCTTAATGAAGTCATACACTTTGAAGTCTTACTAGCAGCTGCATTTATGGAAAATAGAGCAAAATAGAGGCAGCTTCCTGAGAAGCAAAGCACTGTATTCTTTTGCTTTATATGGACCTACAATGGATAGAGGTCCATTCAGATCTGTATATTGAGCTTGTATTCTTGCATTTCTTAGTTTTGTCTTTGGATACGGGGAGAATTTTTCATTAGGAACACAATTTTGATAGCCTGAGTCTATCCTTGCAGTGAAAAAAATCTAACTCTCTCAGCAGTTTTTCCCTCTGTCTGGGAAGACAGAATATAAAATGGGCATTTTCCAGGATAAATTTGAAATGTTTTGTAAATTTGAAAGGTAGTGCAGGTGTATGGGGAAAGTCTTACAAATGATTATCCATTAAACACAACTCCATAAAAATGTTTACGTTTTGAACAAAACTCATCATCGCCTTCAGCTCTTGGTCTTAACATCTCCACACAGTCATGTAGATAATCAGCTGATCTGCAGGAAGCCAAGTGTAGTTCTAACTTAATTTTATTCTGCTGAAAGTGTAGTGTGGTTGTTCTTACTGACTTAAATGGTTGAAATGTTTAAATGTAACACTTCTGTATCTAATCACATACTTGCATACAATCAGCTATGAGTCTGTACACACAGGAAAGAGCTAGTCATGCTTTTCTGCTCTGATGCTGTGAAGGCTCTCCCTTGTGTGCAGAGAGGAAAGTTGAACTAATGTATTGTTTTTTTGAATTGTGTGTAAATAAAGCTGTATTTGGTCTCAAACCACTAGGAAGAACCCTGCTACTTGTTCTTCTGGGTAGTAGTGATCCTAAATATTTGCATTGGAAACCTCCTTAGCACGTGTTGAAGCTTAAATTAAAAAAGCATTGTATTGTCATCTTATGCCTCATGGGAATGTGTCCAAAAGACAAGACAGTTTTCACAAAGCCCTGCTTCAAAACGTGGCGTGTGAGTCACGTTTGTGTAGCAGTAATGCTTTCCTGAAGATGGTATTTCCAACTTAAAATGAGCAATTTGAGGCTTTAGTAATGATACTAAAGCCTTCCTTGTGGAACTGTGTCATTCTTCAAATCAGCTGTCACTCAGAAGAGGATCATGAGCAATAGGTACCTGTTGATCAGGTCATTTCACTCTGTGTGAGACTGCCCTGGTCTGTGTGCAAACTACAACCTTTCTAATCACTGGTAGTAATAACTTAATTCTGTTGGCAGTTCTTTAACAGCTAGTGATTCTAGCTCTTACTGTAAAGAGAAGATACTGTCACAGGATTTCTTCCCCATGCCCAGGTAGACAATTCTTGGTGTTGCAAGACTTTTGAGATAGACCATCTTAACATGAAGCTTGAGTCTGCTTTGAGTCTCTGTACTAGATGCCCCCTAAGACTGACATTTTTTAACATACAGAGGAGAAAAGAATTCCATTCTGTAGCTGCACCATGAGTTTCATGGTAAGAATTGGACTGTCTGTGGTATCCCAGGCTAATGCCTGGGATTTCTGTAAATGGTTTGGTAAGAACAGGTATTTCTGCTGACATCCCTGCCTTTGTTGCTGTATGGTGGTATACAAGAGCAGCAGTATAGCTGTTTGAAATAGATGTCTTTCATTTGCAGTCTTTTAACTGGGTTTTGCTGCTTTTAATAACCAGGCTTATGATTGCATTGTAATTTTGTACAGTGGAGTTACACTGTGTTAGCAGGCAGACATGGACTGATATGAGACTAGTTTACTTTCTGTGTAACTTGAATTGTGTCTGCTGCAAGGTTTGATAGGATGCTGCTTCAGCAGCTAGAGCTGACTTGGAAAGCAAGCACCCAATAGAAACCTGAGCTTGGTTAGTACAGTTAATTGTCCTAAATATAAACTGGTATAGGATGGAGAGTGTGCCTGTTGAGGGCTGTCAAGCTGTTCTGCTGAAAGGGTGTTGTCCTGGCCACGGCTGATGTACAGTGAGGGACAAAGGAAGTTACCTTTACCTTGTTCAGTAACAGGAGACACATGACACTACTTGCAGTTTGAGCAGAGGAATCCCTTTGCCAGAACTCCTTTGGGTCTGGCTTCTGTTGGGTCTCCCTGTAACCTCTCAAGGAGACTTAACAGGGAGAATTGCAGCATCTTTTCATGCTGGGACTATTGGGTACTTCCCAGCCCTCAGAGCTCTGCTTCCTTTTTCTGTAAAGCCTCCAAAAAGAACTGTTAATATGTGGAAAAGGAAGTAAGCCATAGATGGGGGGACTTGACTAAAAGTATTTTTTGGAAAAAATTCAGCATTTTGGCAAGGCTTCAAATCTGGCCCATTGGCTTTGTGTCTCACTGTTTCCTCCTGACTGTTAAATAGCCTGTAGTCTGTCCTGAAGGATAGGTGGAAGCTTTTGCAGAGGGCAGGGGAAAATGTTTTGGCTGCAGGCAGCTACTGGAATGACAAAAGGCTTGGAAACACCCAGGGGAACCCTAAAGAGAATAATAGTTAAATGCTATTTGAGCAAATTAAAGCTGCCTGGCAGTAGCAGGTTTGTTGGGGACTGTTTCCACTAATGATGACTGGCTCACCTGTTTTAAAGTCCCTCTTTATCCTTCCTGTGCAATGCCAAGGTGCCATTCTCTCCTCTCTGGAACAGTAGGTGTGGCTTTTAGCAGCTCTGAGGGCAGGGGACAGCCACAAATTTCGGAGAGCAACTGTTTCAGAGAGTAACAGAGATGCTGCTATATCACCCTCTGTATTTGTGACTGTCCACTGAACACACAGCAAGGAAACTTTATTTAAAACTTTCTTCCCAACCAGAAGAGTTTTTCTGAAAACTTTTTTTGCCTTAGCTTTTAAGCTTTATTTAAAACATGTAGCATCTCTAATCCATATCAGCTTTGAAGAAAATACTGGATTTTGCATAATCAAAAGGCTTTGCACTATGACTTCAGGTTGAGGCTGAGTCTAGGACAAACTGTTCAGAAAGATACTGTGAATTTAGTGTTAGAATTTTTTAAATTTCACACTGGTAGGAATTTAAGTCCCAGCCAAGACAAACGTATCACAATTTCTGGCTAGACTAACTGGAACTGTAGTTTGTTACAGGCTTCTTTGAAGATCCTTCCTGCGATGTGTGTGTTACACTTAAGAGTGTGATAAATCAAAATTTCCTTCTGACAAACGAGGTCTCACCCACTAGATGGCTCTGTCGGGAAGAGAATGAAGCTCGAGAAACCAGAACCCTCTGGAGGAAAAAATGCAAGAAATGTGGTCCCTGCTATAAAAACCGTAAACTCGGTGCTATTACAAACTCTAGCATGAAAGTACTCCGCTTATTTTCTTTCTTCTTCAGTATTCCCAGAGTGCTGGCTTTGTGCACAGCTGGGTTATTCCAGCTGTTGATGCTGTTTGTTTCCTTGGTACTCGGATAATTGGGTATGTGCACTTAGGCAGATTGTGTAGATTCCTCACTTCAGTAACTTAAGCAATCTGTTCTCTGGGGCAGTGGATACCAGGGAGAGATGCAGCTGTCTGTTTTTAACATCTGCACTTGTTTGCCACCCTTTTTTTTTGGTCACAGATTGCAGCATTTCTTTTCATTCTTTGCCATTGCCTTTGTGTGTGGGCTTGTAAATCTCTTCCTGTTCAGTGGGTCCAGGGCTCTCTGTAGCTTCCTGTTTTTAACAGAGAGAGAGAGACAAGTACTGGCCTAGAGCTTTGTCATGAACTTGCCCCTTCGATAACATCAGTGTAGATGCCTTTGAAGGACTCATGTGGCACAGACAACCTCCACTGCAGCCATGCAAAATGGTGTGTGGAGAAGTGCAGGTAGTTTCGTCCAGTCTTCCAGAGTCAAAACCAAACTTGTGTTCTGGTTCAAAACCAGGGAATAAAAGCAGAGAAGAGGTAAATGGTTAGAGAAGGTATCACCTGAAAAAATTGCTTTGCACAGAACTGTAGGACCTTTCCTCACTGATCAGGTGCTTTCATCCCCTACATGAGCAGTGCTTCTCTCCAGGTGTTTCTAACTTATATTTGATCCTAACCTGTACTTTTCTTTAGTTCATTTTTCAGTGCCCTTCAGAAAACCTCTGCCTCTTCTGGAAGGGCAGAATGGAGTAGGAAATGTGAGTTTTTAGTACTACTTGTCAGCATAACTGTCCAGTCTGTATCTCTTTGCCACTTGAGCTTCACAGTGAGTTTTCTTGTAAAATAGAGGTGTCCTATTTCCTCTTGCCAGTACAAGGTGAGCAAGGATGGAAGGCTGACATCCCAGTGGCGCAATGATTTGGTAAGGAAGCAGTGGGTGGAATTCTGAGGCCAATGAGAAAGTGTCAATGATTTAGTTGTTTATTTCTCAGCTGAGGGTCAAAATGGAGGAAAGGTTCTTTGATGTTGCCATCCTGACAAAGGCACTTTCCAGATCAAGCTGCATTTTAACTGCTTTGGATGTCCTGTTGTTGCCTGGACCTGTAATAATAGTTCTTGATAGGGTCAGGAGTACTTTGAAGGTGATGAATAAGGAAGTGCCACCCTGCCCTGCTCATGCTAACTGTTCCTCAAAGAATAGGGTGTGGGATTATTTAACTCATTGTGGAAGCTGACATTAGTGTGCAGTATGAGTAGTAGGTTTGGAGTGGTTTTTATGCCACTTAATTCAGACATTTAATGAGAAAAGTATTTTGGGTTTGTGTGTGAGTTGTTTGTTCCTAGTAGACAGGCTATTATTCCTGGCACAGGACCAGTCATTGCATAAGCAAGTATTGTGCAGCCTTCTGCTGCTCAGCAGAGACTATCAGAGTCTATGAAAAGTGGAGATTTTCCAGCATCATTAATTCAGGGGAGAATGCTGAAGCCCTGGCAAAGAAACAGATTGTATCCAGAAGATGTGTAGTTATGCTGGGAGAAATGAAAAGAATCACAGAAAAACACTATTATTGTTCTTTTGTTTGGTGAACTGCTTGCAGTGAACATTTAATTTGTTCTTCATTTTCCCTTGCCTAGGGACTCAAAATCTGCTGTGTGTGGTTGGGGGTTTGCCCTAAATCCAGCTCAGTGGAGATGGTACATCTACTCCAGAGCAAACCACTGCCTGTGAGGCAAAACTCCTTGCATTTTGTCCCCCAGTGCCTAAAATGTTAACAGGGAGTGAGTGGGACAGAGCACTCAGCAGGTTTATCAACAGCACTGGCCTGTGATGCAAAGGGAAGGCAATGGGAATGCCTGGATTTGCAGGGACGTGGTGTGTTATGTGGGACTGTCCCTTCACTGTGTTCGTGGCTCCATGATGGAAAGAGCCCGACTGTCACTTGTGTTTTTCTTTGCAAAACCGTTCCAGGGTATAAAGACATTGTCACCTTGCATTTCATAAAGGGGGATGGAGTCTGAGCCAAGGAGAGACTCAGAGCAGGATTTGAAGACAGGCTTGGGCCCACAGCTCCTGCTGAAACGAATGAGTTAGGCACCTCAGTATTTTCCAATATACTTATCCTTAATGACTGTCCTAACGGTGTCCCTGGAGCTCAGAGACAAAGTCTCCTGAGGCCCAGTGAGTGCTCTAAGTGCTGGATCATCCCAGAAGTGATGGTCTCTGAGCATTGTCTCCTGCATCAGTCTCCTGTTGAGCACTAACCTACTTCATGGTGGTGTATTAGAGTGGATAGTTCTTTGGATATTCAGGCTGCTTTGCTCCAAGTCCCTCAGTGGCATCCACAAAAGTGCAGTTTTGTGTTTTCTATTACATCTATTTTGTACCACCTTTTCTGATTTCTCTGTTCTCCTCCAACAAACATCAATCAGTCCAGTAAGGA